AAGAAAGAGTTGGGGGCGGAAATCATAAAGTGGGCAATACATCTGGATGGGGAGTAGGACCTATTTTTAACTGCTTTATAAATCAATGCAGTTTCCTTTCAACTTCCCCAACTCTTATCCATCCAAAAAACTTCAGCTTTCCCCAGGCTCACTAAGACTTAGTCACTGGCTAAGGGAGACTACATGCTACGGCTACAGCAAGCCACATGCTTCCTGACTAGTTAGGCTGGTCACTGGCAAATGGAATAAATACCAGCCAAGTTCCACTTACCTTTTTCTCAGTACGGGCACTAATCTGGGTCTCCCTAAATACTGAGCACTGCATTTTCCTCAAAAAAGGTGGAGGAAATTCATAATTTTGTGACTTTTTACCTCCTATACAAACATGCTTGAAATGGGCTAGAAGGTTCAAAAATCACTTCTGACACAGCAGAAAAACAGGGTAAGCCCTTTCTTCTTCAGAAACCAAGCTAAAAACAAGTACTCCACTGGGCTTAAGCCAATCTTTCCCTTCTATTTCACACATGCACTATCTTTAAACACAGCATGCGTGTTTGTAATAAAAATAATATATTTTAAAAATCCAGAAAGACAAACAGTCCTTTTGGTCTTAGTATCACCCTTCAAAAGCCTGTCAAATCACACAGGAAATTATATTCATACTTGCTACTTAAATCCCATTGAGTTTGTAAAACACAGTACCTCAGAAATCAGTTTCTTCTCATCTCCTTCTCCGTCCTCAGAAAGGTCAATGAAAAAGTCTTTTCCACACGGAGTTTTATCAATGAACCAGCCCCCTTCAGAGATGCGTGTTTCGACTCTTGCTCCTGGTGAGAGGGCGCTTGTTTGAGGAGCTGTTCGCACAGGAGGGGGGATTTCCATTGGTTCATTTTTTGGAGTGGTTGGAACAGAATCGGGATTTCCTTTCTTGTATAAGCTCAGCAGGGAACTGTTCATATGATTTGTAGACTGCAGATTCATGTATTTTGAAAGAAAATATGCAAGTTATAATTTGGATTATTTCTATTAAGAGACCAATGAAAACTTTCATAAATCTCAGTTAGCATCCTCGCTGGAGAAAGTGGTCCTGCATCTTCCAACCCACTCCTCTGCAAATCAAATGACTGCATACAAAAATACATCTTCTGGTTGAAGAGGCAACAGCCTTTGCGAGCGATAGTCAGATGTGTCAGTTCCTTCAATCATTTCATTCATTTGATAGCCAAGTCTTTTGGGCCCCCAGCATGCTTTCCTCAGAAGTGATTCCCCACCACACGTTCTTCAGAAAATAGCCTCCTTTTAGCTCTATAGATTCTCAGTTGGAATTGCCAACTCTGGCTATACCCAATCTTCATCTCTACTTTTAAACCCTCCAAGTGCATTGCGATTTCACCACATAGAATCATGTGTTATGCAAATACAAACAATCATAATAAAATACAACTTACTAGATCTTCCGGATAATCATCATAATCGGAGAGATCTGTGGCACTTCCTGCAGTCCTTTACATGGAAGGAAGACAAAAACTATTAATGTATCAGAGCAGAACCGCAAGTGAGACACCCACAAAACAGGACAAATGCAATTTCCACATCATGGTTCCCCACACCCATGGTAGGTAGCCTAAGACTGGAGGAAAACTCCTGACTAGCATGCTCTAAATTTACTACTATGAAGAGTTAAAAAATGCATCCTTTCCAAGCCTGTGATGAGTTGGATCAACTTGGCAACCTGGCTGAAAGACAGTCCTAAAAAAAAAAAAAGTGATGTCAGACCAATCTGATTCAGTTCACCAAGAGACCACACAATCACCAATGCTGGCACAAGGGAAGTGGTAGCAAATCACTGCTGAACTAGACTCGCCCTTCTGATTACAGTGCCGTAATTGCCCATGAGACCCTTAGTATCTATATCAGGTTAGAGAAACCAGAATGGTCCGTGAGACTATGCACAGGGTTAAGAGTTAGGAAATCTTAATTCCAATCTCATACCCAGTGGCGATTTACTCTGAATAGCCCGTCCTGTAGTTTTATCTCTCAGATTAGCTAGTATCTCTCACACCCAAGAAAGATTAAGAACAAAACAAAGGAACTGAATCACACGAGGACTGGGGCCTTATGTGGAAAACTATCAAGGAAGCCTCAAGGATATCCACTAATTCAGGGCTGTATGTTCCCCATAACAGAAAAGTCATGATTGGCTCTAGTATCTGCTTCTCTTCAGTGAAAAAAGTGCTTCCATTAAGTACAGGTAACTTCTGATGAAGACAAGCCTATGGGAAATCAAGGATCTATCTGTAACCTTGAAACTACCAAAATTTAATAACACGAAGACAGAAAGCTTTAAAGAAATTATAATACTAATGGCATTATTAAAGTAATCTAATGGTAAAAATCCTTCTTACTCATTTTTCTCTTGTTGTCTTGCTCTTTTTGCCACATGTTCAGCTTCTAAAACTGCTAAATCTTTGCGTTCTTTTTCATTATTAATTATTTCAAACACTGAAAGAAAAAGTTCAAACATGGTAAGAAAACAGCCAAAGTGTAATCAAAGAATTTGGCATTTTGGACATAACACTAACAGAACTACCTTTTTCGACTTGTATTCTAAAAGCATTTCTTTTTCTTCGTCCATACTCTGCACTGAAAAAAACAAAATGAACAGGTTACACCAACTGCTTTTTTCCCCTCAACATACTGCCATTCTCAGAGGAAAAAATACATTGTAAGTTGACACCCAAGCTTCTACGCAAGTTTTTCTTAAAAACCAACTATGTGAAAACGTGATTGGTTTTTCTTAAGCCTGGAATAACTCAATCACCAGGATGAAACAAAACCACTAAACTATACTGGTCTCTAAAGGGATGTTTAGTAAAAATTACCAAGGTCCTTTTTAACTGTAGCTATAGAGAAGTAGCAATGTACAAGTGAGCACACTGGATTCTATTTCACAACACTCCCGGGTTTTTAATTTTAATTCAAACAAGAACATATGGACACAGGACTACGGTCTAGAAAGAACAGTCCAGCAAGGAATAACTGTTCTAATTAATAATGAGAAAAATGAGAAAAAATCGGATTCATCTGATTCTATGATAAAAATCTGATTCAATGAGCATCCTTAAATGCAAACAAAAATCAACCTTTTACCTTCACTTACTGAGGGTATATTTTATTTATTTGCTTTTATACAGTAGCTGACAGAGGAAAAACAAAACAAAAAGCCAAGACCTGTAAGCATCCTAAGCAAGGGGTTTGGCTCCCTTTCTCTAACAAGGCACAAATAAATAGAACATGCAAACACGAATGAATATACTTCTCCACCTTCATTAACCCCCACACCCACCAATGATCTGCTGAAATACAACCTTGCTCCCCACCCAAAAAAGCAAAACAGCCTAAAAATAATTAGGCAAGACTGACTGTCCTGCTGAGCAACTGAGCAAGATTTAGTGTCTTACTGAATCCTGTAACTCCCCCAGCTGCCTGCACTGAAGCGTTATTTTCCCCTCATATTTAATGGCAACTGGGGTAAGGACCAACATGCTGTAATGCATCTGTAGCTGTTCAATTAAAAAAAAAAAAGCAACCACAAAAAACAAACCACAACTAGATCTTGCAATGCCAATGCATTAATAAAATATAAGTTACTAGATATATCAGCAGAGGAAAACACTGGAGTGGAAATGATCTTCCTGTTTCAATCAACCTCAACAACTGGTAATGAAGTTAACGTAAATAAAATTAAGATTTTGATTAAAAATACACAAATGCAAAATAACAAGATAAATATATTCCATATTTTGAATGTAGAATATAACAATACAAATCTTTGCTCACCTGTAGGTTTTCTGCAAATCAGATGCTAGAATTCCAATGTCAACATACCGGCCACAGTTACTACTTGCAAGATACTGAAATGAAGAATTTTAAGCAGCAAATAAGATCTTTGTCAATCACTTCACCAGAACAGCTAGATCAAATATGCCTATTTCAAACTCTACTCTTCTTAGAAGTCAAAGTGAAAATCAGAAGCAGCTTTGAACTGCCTTGGAACACACTGACAGGATTTCCCAACGAAGTGGGAAATGCTTATTCAGACACGGATAACTAGCTAGCTACGCTTCCCGGGGAAAAGCGGCATACTGTATTTTGGTGCTTCGGTGACTTCTGCTGGTGCAACTCCGTTGTTTTTATTTAGTAAGAAAGATGACTTTGTAACCCACACACCATCTTACTGTCAATCCTTCTAAAGTGATTGGTTTCCCTCAGTTAACCTCCTTTTGTTTTAGGTCTCCTACCTTAAAAATGAAACAACCTACATCAATTAGTACGGATACCGTCATAATAAGAACTTTAATCTTTGCAAGATGTTTCAAAAAATACTATAGAAAAGTATACAAATGAAAGTGAATTCTATCAAGCCTTTTTTTTTTCTGACAGCAGCTGATCCAACCCATTTTCAAACCACAATTATGAAAGTGTGAGAAAACATACTAAATTTCAGGTACAACTGTATTCCATTTGCTTTCTTCCCCCGCTCTCCAAATTAGGAGTGAGAAGAAGTTTCAATACCGTAATGGTGGATTCCTTCTTGAAAAAAGAAAAAGGAGACAGAGAATCTCTCTAAAAGATACGGTATCACAAATGTCACAGCAAGGAGAATTTCAAAATCTCATTTAAATTAATACCTCTATCTAAAACAATCAAATTGCTTAAAATTGAATACAGAATTATTTTTTAAAATTACGTTACAGTTCACATCACCCACGGGCAGCTACTGACCTGCAGAAAATATCAAGCCTGCCATAAATCCAGCTGGCTCTTTCATTTCAGAATAGCCAAGACATAGTCACCGTGATCTTGTAAAGGAAAATAAGCAAGCTCCCTCAAGCAGCCGCTCACATTTTAAGGAATTAGAAGCGGAGTACACGTCTACACAGACGCAGAAAAATGGTATTTAAGTCACCATAAATATTCGTAAAATATAACACGGCGCTATGCCGCCTGAAGGAATCACTGTTCTCCCCACTCTTCACATCTGTATTATGGAAGTAATCACATTTTTTCCCTCTCTTCACTTCTTTCATATAATCGATGTACATGTTTCCAGACGTAAACACTTCCAATTTGCCTATATCTACCCAGAGCGGGGTTTTTTTTTTTTTGACTATTCATTTCACACTTGAAACAGCAGCCAGCTTCAGGATCAGAAGTACTGAAGAGGATGGAACAAAGCAACACAACAAAGCAAACAAAAGGACCTTTTTAAAGCTCCTCTTAAAGCCTTTTTACAGTCCCGAGAGACGGGGCCGGGTTTCGGCGCTCGCTGCCGCTCCCTCCCGCACCTGAGCGGGCCGGATGCTCAAGGCCTCCTCCAGCGAGAAGGGGGA